GAATATTTGTATCTACTTCAGCTTGATTTTTTTGGTTCCAACATTTTCAATAGGTGAGCGACTGGGAGGGGGGGGGGCGGGGATTTTTCGTGGGCCGTGCTTCCCCGCCTACCCATAGATACTCCACTGTGTATAAATAAGAGGGGAAACGGTTATTTTTTATTTGGTAAACAAGCAACCAAGCTCTCTGTGCCCCTTTGTATATGGTGACAAGAAAATCGTATAAATGGTGGGTAATTTGAAAAAAAAAAAAGAAAAAAAAAATTGTCATACATACATGTTTATACTTACCAATTGGTTTACTTAGAACAGCACTGTTGAACAGATAATATAGCACATGACACAAAAGAATAATTGTAGATGTAGATCTGCTTTTTCTATTATCTCATTTGTTTATCAAATGATCATCGATCTATAGTTTGTTTATTGTTGTTTTCATAGTGTTATGTCCTGTTTGTTAAGGAAGGTTTGACAGTAAATAAAACTGTACGCTACGCTATGAGCCAAGCAACTAGATTTAGAGCCTCGGAAAATCCATTCGTAATAGTTAGGTACGGAGTGTATTTTTGAAATATTGGGTTTTTATATACTTATAGAAAATTTACGATGGAAAAATAGATAAGAAATGGAAAATATTGGGAATCACGTGATCGTATAAAGAATGTCCTGTTTCTCATTTCATTGAAAACATTTCAAAACTGTTTGCATTATTACCCTTATTATTTATTTTTCTGCCTCCTCCTCCCTCCCCCTTGTTTTTGGAAAAGTGGAAAAAAAAAAGAAAGAAAGAAAAAGAAAAATTGATCGCCCAAAACGCCTGAGGTTATTTTTCGAGAGTCTTTAACAATAATTTCGCGGAGGCATGCCTCGGGACACTCTAGGAAGGTGTTTTCTTGATCGGCCCCACATTTTCGTCCCCTTTTGCTCTCCTCCCCCTCCTTTGCTTGTCTACTGTGCGTTTTTGTTTTTCTATCATTATGTGAATAAATTGAATTGAATTAAATTATTATTATTATTATTATTATTATTATTATTATTATTATTATTATTATTAGAGGTGTCATAATCATAAATGTTCTTATCTCAACCCCAAACGTGATGGGGCTGAGTTGGAGTAGACATGGAGGAAAAATAATATATTTCCTCCATGGTGTAGACAAGTACATCTGTAAAAGTCCCCCCGTGCCCCCTCTTTCGAATTCCTGGATCCGCCAGCCTGTAGGGGAAACGCAAATCTTCTAGAATTGCTTGCGTTCGCATTTGACACCCGTCTAATTTGGTCTATAATGTGAACCAAAGTAGGATTAAAGAAAACTCAGTTGGTCCCAAAATTTGAGAGACCGCCTCATGCCTCAGACACCATTCTAGAGTGTCCGGAGGCATGCCTCCGCGAAATTATTGTTAGAGACTCTCGAAACATAACCTCAGGCGTTTTGGGCGATCAATTTTTTCTTTTTCTTTCTTTCTTCTTTTTTCCACTTTCCCAAAAACAAGGGGGAGGGGGGGAGGCAGAAAAATAAATAATAATGGTAATAATGCAAACAGTTTTGAAATGTTTTCAATGAAATGAGAAACAGGACATTCGTTATACGATAACGTGATTCCCAATATTTTCCATTTTTAATCTATTTTTCCATCGTAAATTTAAAAAAAAAAAGTGCGCTTTTATCGGAATATGTATTTTACAAAAATAGGCCATAGAAAACAGCTAAATGAAATAGGACACATTTCGCAACCTACGAAAAAAATAACGAATACGAATAGGTCATTATCATTATCATCTTTCATGCCTAAAACATTCTTGGCATTATGCCATTCGAGCTTGATATGATCCTTCATTCATGCAAAATGGAGATATGCTAGTGTATGGGAAGGGCTGTCTAAAAATTTGATGAGAAACTCCCCAATAATAAATAAATATATTTTAAAGATTCTAATGTGATCCAAATGTGGACGGATATATAATGACACATTGAATCGCCATTAATAATTAAATTATAACTGAATGCACAATTCGTAGCAAAGTAAATATATACCGAATGAGGGGGCGTGTATCACGAGTTTCAGATGGCTACATTTATACAATATATAAAATATAAAATAGCTAAGCAATACACCTATTTTTTCTCATTCCTGGAATGTACAAACAGACGTCATAAAGTATGGAAAGTTACAATAACAACGCGCCCTATGACATTTTCCATAGGCATATTCTTAAGGAAAGACATAATTGTAATAATCGAATAACAACTAATTGTTTCAAATTTCAGTCCAATTGTGAGTGGACATGTGTAGACTAAATTGAAATAAATTAGTATTAATTAGCTTTATATATGTGGTTCATTGGGGTGGGCGAGGTTGTGGGGGAGGTGCGCTTTAATATTTTAACCATTAATATTTTACAAGGATAGGCCAATAGAAAACAGTAACGAAATAGAAATAAGGACACATACAATATCTTCATGATCTAACAGCGGTTAGCAGAAATA